AAGCCTATCGTAAAAGGTCAGTTCTTTTGTTACTTCACAAGACCTTTTTATTTTCGTGTGAACATTCTCATCGTCAAAGTGGAGTTACAAGATGGATCACCTTATCTAAATAGTAGTAGCATCTTTCGAATATAAATAAAATACACTGAAATTGTTTCCGTAGTACCTAGGCCTATTACATTTTTGGAAGTAACTTATTCCAAAATCTCTCTCAAGCTAAAATATAACCCACTAAGTATATAGCATTAATGCTTCTCCATGAGACGTCTCACTCAAAACAGTTTACAAGATAAATTGGTTCAAACAAAATTTAGTACAAAGTAAAAATAGAAAAAGAAACATAAAATCGCATATTAGATTACAGCTGATACTATTAACAAAGTTTCTTTATTACATTTATTGGTATTGAAAACACAATGGATGGAATTCCTTCAAAAATTAAATTCGTAAAGCTATTATAGTCCATGAAACAATTTGTTCCATAAAATCTTATACTTCTTAGTCTGAGTTGAAGTTGCGAGAAAGTTGCCCCGCACCGGAAAGTTACAAAACCGACTTATCGAAGTGGATATTAAAAATGTTTGAATATTAAAAGTATGGGAGTATCGCTACGGGTTCACTGACAGACTACCTATTTTTGTTATTTTTACAACATTTTTGTTAGAAATCCCGTAAGAATATTCTTATGCAAAATATTCTGTATGTTTGAAGTCAAAATGATTCATCATCTATAATAGTCAGAAGAAATTAATTAATAAGTGGCCAGCTCCTTTTAAAAGCAGAGGAGTCGTTATTACAAGCAATTTAAGTACCTAAAACGTGGTGTGTCCGTCGTAGGTAACTTAGTTCATCTGACAATTAACTATAACAAATCCCCTCATAACACATAGATACCTAATAATTCACATGTGAGGATGCCCATATTCTGTCTATGTTCATACCTTTCAACTCTATATGCTATACTTTTGAACACAAAAGCGATTTTAATACCACCCCTCTCATACAATTACTATAATTAGGTCAGCGTTCCTCATTTTCCTTCACAATTTACATTGCCTTTGTTTCATATAAAAAAGAATCTGTTAGCTTATTAGCTTATCCTCCTTGAACTAAATTCCTTTAGTTTAAAGATAAGACTGCAGCTGGAATATAATTGGAAGTTGAGTTAGCAAATCTCTTCACCCGTACTTGGCAATGCATCCGGATTTGTACGAAATCCGGGGACGTTGACAACATTAGAGTCTGCTGTTCGAAACTATCTGTGGAATTTTCAATGTGAGTTATTCTACTTTGTTGTGAGATTTGGTAAGGATTCAGCCGTCTAACGAGGGTTCAAAAGGCAGACTAGATAATACAATGTCATGTTTGTATTTATTTGAGAAGTTTTAAGTCGTGTCGTTGTTATTCAGTAAGTGAGTTCGATTTATGTAAAAGGTTATTAGTTAGAAAGTATTTTTGTGTCTTTATGGAATACGAACGGACATTTTTTTTAATTTATTTATTTATTTACACTTTTTGTATATATACAATGGCGGACTTAATGCCTAGTGGCATTCTCTAACAGTCAACCTTAGGGTGATGCAGAAAGACACAATAGTAGGTGTAAACGTTTAACACTTATTAGAATGACACAATAATTAACATTACATATAATTAACATTAAAATTACCATCATATATAATTATACATATCACACAATATATACTAATTAAATATAATGAAGAAGTATTAAAATATATACGTAATGCAAAACTTTTCTAAAGTCCTACGATAAAAATCGACAATTGATCTATAATACCTAATGTATGTACAATGCAAAACAGCAAACGATATGTCTGGTACCTACATGTAGGCAACAAAAAACGTAATTACAATTTCATTACTCACGAATTAGGAAAAGGTTACTTCTTCGCAAAACGAATGGGAATGATTGTCCCAAATCAAACGATCCGCCATATACAATAGACTCTTATTTATTCACGTTACAAGAACATGATTCCTCAGTACAACTATACGTAGAATTTGTCCTTTGTACAGAATTACATACACATCGTAAATATACCCCTGTACAATCGTGTACAGCAGGCAAGTGGTAGGCTACTGATAAGGAATCCAGCCGACACGAGCCCCAGTGCCCAATACCAGCTTATTAGGCCTAATTATCATCAAGAGGTGGAATGACTATCTTAGGCTGCCATGATGTAATAAGATATCGTTTATGATATTGTGTTGAAGAGTAGATTTTTTGCGTCCATGACGAAAATAAAGTCGTTATTCAATCCAAAAACCGTACGTGGGATAGTAGATTAATTCACTGTTGACAATAACTATCCAGTCTATCAAAAAAAGATGATAAATGTAACCTTTGACTTTAATGGATGGCCTTGACTTCTCGTAAAAATCATTAGTTTTAGTATTATTCACTACAGAATTTTCATTTAATAAATACATGCCTAATACGTTTGTCGGTTCTTTACCAAAAAGTCGTAAAACGAAGAAACGTAATTGAGTGAGAAGTAGCGACCGGTTGAAGTAATTAATTTTGTCGAGTTACAAGTGACGTGTAAGCCGCTCGGTGTTCCGTGTAATCCTGAACGCTTTGAATGCTTTCTTACTTATGATTTTATATGAATTCTGCTCTTATTGGAGCGGGCTATGTTAAGCAGTACGACGTCTAGTGACTAATATGGTAATGATAATGCAGGTTTTTGTAGAGCAAGTAATTAAATTAGCTTAAGATTTTAAATATAGTTTTTTTCAACATCATCAAATTACTCCACCCGCCCCGGGTGAGGCCTGGGTGAAAAAAGAGAGTCAGACTACTTTTAACATATATAAATCCTTTTTTATTAACGTTAAGAAAGATCATTGTCCCGTACGAATCTAAGTTTTATCTTATAATAGAAAATAGTAGGTACCTACAATTAATTTAAGAACATAAATTGTTAGTTTCTAAGCCTTTTAATTTGTATTCGATCAATTAAGAATGAACTTAAACACTGACAAATTAATATTTACTAGTAAATGTTTTAAAACCAACGGCTATACTAATTAGGTGATCTATTAATTAAAATATATTTTAAACAGTCCATCACAATTAGTAATTTAATAGAATCTTACATTTAAAATTGAATCTTACATATTAAATAACTGAGATGAGTTTAATTTCATTCAATTTGTGAATAGCAAGTGAGGTTAATGACCCGTCCTGAATAATAGCTGTCAAATATGACTTAAACTATTCAGAATTGTAATATTTTTGCCGAGTGCAAATTTAATTAACGTAATTAATTAATTTCTTTTGATTTTTAGTGATTGAATGTTATTTTAAATCGAAATTCCATGCTGAAGATGGAATTAATGAATTTTTATCATTTATTTTAATGACGCTTTTCAGTAAATATTTCTGCAAACAGTGTCATGCTTGTTAAAATTGCATCATCGCTTACTTGGTAGTAAGCCGAGATAAATGAAAATACTTACCAAAAACTCTATGCATTCATTACTGTGTGTTATCAAATAAACAGATTCTTACGTTTATTGATGTTTTGTACTGAAAGTGAGAAGACAATGCCACATCGTTACTCCAGCAACAATTAGATCCATTACTACTATTTTTTGGAATATATTATGAAAAATTTGCGAGTATAACCTCGACACGTTGCTTAGCTGTCACGTTTACATTCAATTGAGCAACAAGCCAAAAAAAATTGCACCCTAACTCAATAACAATAAATGTTGTATTAGAATATGAGACGACCGAAACAAATAACGAATGTTCCCGTCTCCTGTGCGGTTGCTAGGCGATGGAGCGAGAGACAGTGACCTCGTGTCCATGGCGACTGAGACACCAACTCTGTGACATTTGGTACTCAAGTACAATAAATACTTTGGCGTTATTGTACTTCACTGCCTCATTGGCCGAGTGATCACAAGTACGACTACCGGACAAGTGGTCTCGAGTTCGATTCCCGGGTCGGGCAAAGTATTACTGGCTTTTTTAAAAAAAATCTCAGTAGTAGCACGGAGCCTGAAATTGTGCGCGGTATATAGTAATAGGCTCGCCCCCTATTACATTGGACTCATAACATAGCTAAATATTTAAAAGTTATGTATATTTTTTTTATACGAGGATATGAACCCAGTGTAATAGGGTAGTTTCCTAAATTTTAATTTAATGTCCGTTTGGTACATTAATTCAAAACTTTAGACAAGTATTTTTCTTTTCTTACAAAATTAAATATTTTCGACGATATATTAATTTGAAATATCGGGTGACGTCACAGCGTGCCACATTTTGTAGCACGTTATGACGTAACGACCTCCCTCCTAAACATAGCGCCATTTTATCTAAGTATTGCAACTTAATACGAAAAAAATAAAAAATACGTGTCTAATATTTTTTCATTATTTATCTGACGGACTAATTTGATTTTTAATTTTCATACCCTGGTGACTACCAAATTGGTCAACAACCGGCGCTGTCCACGAGGTCGTACTCGCAATCTGCGACCTAAGGTTGTGATTTTTTACATGTTCGTATTCTATTAAATTATTCGTTTTATTATATGGTACTTGATTTCGCTAAATTAAGTGCTAGACATTTTGTATCGTAGGTACTTGTTCAAAATATTGGTTGATACTCAATGCTAAAGTATAAATAAAATAAATTAATCGTTTTATTGTCTACTAAAATATAACTGGGTTTATTGAACCGGTAAATTATATTATAGTTCTCAATTGATCTATGTCAATTTTTAATACTCTTTTTTTTTCATTACGAAAATAATTAGGTATTTATTATGAATTTGTTTCAAATACCTACTTATAAAATGTTCCTTAACGTTTCGATATTTGTCTACCTAAGAATTTGTGACTGTTTTTTTTTAATATAATTGATGTTGTACTCTTAGATGGGGTAGAAATGTCATAGACATTTGTTTAATTATGTTGTTCCTAACTTATATCAACATTACTGCTATTTGATAATGAGTACGTACCTTTGAAAGACGCCATGTTGTGTGCGCGGGGCCGTGTGTTCCGTTCTCATCTATCTGTCCCGCTGCCGCTACTCACGTCGATCTCCGCACTGAACTTGCCACTTGAGTTGTAATTACCTAAAGGACAAACAAACGGTGTTAAGTCAAAAGTAACAAGAAATACTTTAATTCTATAATATTTAAAACACACAACACACAGAGCGAAAAGAATGCATATCGTGCAAATAAATAAATAGGTGTTACTTATATTCATTTAGATACTATATGTATAAAAACTTCATCATCATTAGTTTATTTTGTTATTAGATAGTAATTATCTATTTCCTCAGAACATCAAAGAAATAAGTAGAACCCTTATTTCGGCAAATTAATTAGTAATCTCAGTAAAGCAAAAAAAAAAACGCGGCAAAACTGACAGATATCAATCAGCGCGCTTTAATAAACGCAATGACAGGCCTGGGTCAAGGAAATTAGTTGTTCTGCCTACTTACAAAGATAAAGTTTCCTCTTTTAATTTTCTTTTTACAAAGTTTTTGAAACAAAATATCGTCGGTGTGAGGGTTGGATAAATTGAAAACCATATTTTTAAGGAATCGCTGATAATATTTTCTGTTTTTGTGACTGGCCATTACTGGCTGCAAAATAACTAGCATAATACCTTTTGAACTAGTCAAAGAAACTTACTCAAAGAGTTTCACCGCTCGTTCGCGAGTGGCGACCTAGCTCATTATACTCGTATATTTGTTGGTACTACTCTATAAGTTTCTTATTATCATTTAGAAGTATATGCAATGTACCTAGTTTTAATTGAGCGACTTAAACCAGACAATTAAAGAACCTGTGTAATTTCTCACGAACATATTGCTTGTTTACCTAATTTTCTTCTTCCAGTTCCTGCAATCTCCTGATGAGAGCGATACACAAGTTCGACAATAGATCATTGTGACGATATCATAATAAAGTCAAATTATAATGAATGTAGGCTCGAAGCAGGTGCTACTGTTACCGTCGCCATCAATTTTTGCTATCATCAAACATAATTATCGTTTGAAAATCACACTGTTACAATGTAATATTACTTGGATGTACAGAAGTGACCCGGGTCCTTTGTTAACCTCACTGCCGTCAATAACCCCTGTCAAATGTCATTAGGTACACGTTGGTATTATGAAATGGTTGGTAAAGTTTGTTAATGTTACCATTCGAACGGTAGACGTCGCTAATGTGTGGCAAAGGTGCGGATATTTTTTATTGGTTGGTCGATTTAGACGATTGATAGGTAGGATGTAGTCTATTAAAACATATTTGTGCTCATATTCTTTGTTTTTTAGGAAGTCACAAACCTTTGGAGAAAATTTGTAATCCAATACGAAAACCTAATGCTAAAGCTATTTAATGACCTCTGCTGAAGTTTTACTTTTTCCACTCAAAACTATTTAAATATTAGATCACGATTTCATTTCTAACGATAGCAAATAAGTTCGTGAATGTTTACAATAAAAATGCCCTAAAAATACATGAAATATTCAGGGTGTAAAGCAAAACGTATCATGTTTGCGCGGCGGCGCGAGATTCATTTCCTGGCCGACGTGTTTCATAGCCAGCCCCGATGGAATCCGACGGATTCTTTAAATGCCAATAATATTTTGTTATTACCTTTTTCGTTTGAGCGATGTTGTTATTTCGTTCATTGCTCGCACAAAGTGTAAATGGAAATTTCGTTTCATCGGATCATGTTTACTGGGCAACGTTTTGTTTTGTATCTTACTTATATTTTTTTAATCTATAACTAAGTAATACTATTTCGTAACTTCTAGTTATCTTTCTATTTTATTTACCTATCCTAGGAAATATGAAATAAAAATTGTTACCTATATGGTCTCATAAAGCCTATCCCATATTGCATATCACAAGTTGCATGATCCCATTAGAAAACGTAGCGAATACTATTAAAGCCGACTGAAAATAATCCGCACGTCACATGTTTAATTAAATGTAATTAAAACGCGAACAAGACGGGCCCTTTCTTAATTAAACATTAATTTGAAAGCCCCTACGAAGGGTTCTCCTTGCTACTGTACTAAGAAGGTACTCCTGCTACATACAGGCGTGTGTGTGTGTGCTTACAAAAATAGAACAGTAACTGTTAAACAGGTATTTGTGTTCCAAAAATACTTGTTCTCGATAAAGCAGGTATTTTTAGCTTCACCTTGCTATTATAGTAATTTGGAATTGTTTTTCTGGAGTAAGGTTACTTAGTTTATTGAAGTCAAAGGTACTAAAGATTCCGATAATTTACTACTGTCGTCGGTCATTAATAGGTCTATATCGTTATCCTGTCATTAAAAAGGTGAGTAAGTCTCTTCGGTAATGAGATGACGCCAATATCATCGATCCGGTTATTAGCGGTGAGGATCATAACTCATGTCTCATATTTTAATCAAATGTAACTTAAGTATTAATATTGATAGAAATAATTTACAATGGCGAACCAATGACGGGCATACTAAATTGTTTGTTTAAAATTTTTTATACGGTAATCATGATTGCAGAATTGGTAGAATGGCTGGACAACCGGCTGCCGTGCAACGTGTTGCGGGTTCGATTCCCGCTCGGGGCAACTATTTGTGTGATCCACAAATTGTGGTTTCGGATCTAATTGTCATGTGTATGTGAACTGGTATGTTTGTAAACGCACACATGACATAGGAGAAAGTATGAGCGTGGATCGTGGTTTAAAAAAAAAATCTCTCTTTTGGTCGAGTGTCCAATCTGACTCTAAGAAATAAGATCCCAAAACTTACATATACCTAATAAATAATTCACAATTACTATTGTGCCTCTCTGCATCACCCTAAGGTTGACTGTTGTATTTTTATTGTACAGAAAGTGTAAAATAATTATAATATGTAGTAATTCGCTCGTACCAAAACTCTAGTACAACAGATAAAGGCAATAATAAAAAATGACTATAAAAATCCAAGATTTTCATTATAATATGGATCTTTACAGTTACTAACGTCTTTTAAACGAACGTGGCGCCATCTACGATTGACTTTAACATGACTCTTATTGTTGTAGACACAGAGTGGGTCACAAAAAACATCGCGCCCTCTACCCACAATCGACGTTAATCGGCTTATGCTCATTACGGCATTGTAACTGTGATACCTTCACGACATCATGATCCTACTTAATCCACGATATGCCTATTAAGCATATTATAATGTATGTATGTAACTATGTAACCATTTTGATTAATTTCGTTGGGTACGTTTCGTACAATAGATTCATGACTCTTTGATGCACAAGCCAAACAGTGGCAGCTCATATAATGGAAGATTTTAAAATCTGTCTGATTATTAATAACTATGATGTTTAGTAATGTAGAAAAAAGTAAACACAATCAATCTAATGCTGGCCAAAAGCCTCTCTCAGAGTTTACGTCAAAGCACTTATTTCAACGAAACTATGATACCGTACTATATACTCTGCGCTGTTGAAGCACTTATCAACAAAGAGTTGACTGATGGTGTCTAAATCTACGAGTGTATAAAAGTCGTTACCACACGCATGAGAAGAATTTACTGTTTTTTGTTTTTTTTTTTATATTGTTCCTTTTATTACTTGTTTTCGTGTTTAAAATTAGTTTTTATATACTTAGTTTTTTATATACCTATACAGGTGTTTTGTGTGGTACACTTGTGTTTTGCTTTAGTTGGTACACAGTAGCACCGAATATTTTTTTTTTCCTGTTAAAAATTCATATCAAATTTGTTTTAGATCTAAGATAATAATTTTGTAAATGCTGTATTTACCTATAAGTATTTGTTACACTTACTGTAAAGAACTCACATTTGTATCTCGACAATTGTATTGGTGTAAACAAATGTTGGTAAATCATAAATAAATATAAGACAGTTTTAATAATTTCTTCACTCAACACTATATGTTATTTTATTTGGCTCTTACTGACTAAAAACCACCCCGTTTCTATTTCTGGGCTTCGAGCCGGAGCCCCGGCAACTCGTTAAGTCCTCTGCGGATAACTCTATATGCTAGGACCAGCTAGTACCATACTAATATTATACATTTCAAAAGACAATAATACTTTGAGAGATAATCATGTTTAGATTGAATATCATCAGGAGCATTTGGTAATGGAAAGTAATTTATGTTAGCAGTCATGCGGGCTCGGGAGCGGCTCGGTCCGTGCCGCGCGGCGCACGGTCGTGATCGGAATATTGAAACTAATAAAGGAGCCGTTTTTAAGGTTCTTTAAGTTCTACTAGAGACTATTAAGGTACAGTGAGGTCAAATGCTAGGTAAAACTATCTGAAGTTAATAGTTGCGATGACATAGTCAAAAATGACTATGTCATCGCAACAATCAATTAGTTCAGGGTTCAAAAATGGATACATGGAAAAAATAGTTGTTTCATCACTAAAATACGGTAAAATTTATATAGAAAATATAATAATACTTAAATAAGTATTATCTCTCAAATAAATATTCATATAGTAGTTATTTTTACAATTACCACAAACAAGTCGATGAGAAAGTTAAAACTTGCACACAGAGACAACTAAACAGCTAATATTATGTTTAACTCGTCACACATAACAGCCCCGCAACCCACGGCCTCACTCTGCGGATTGCAATCCTTGCCGACCAATGTTACCGCCGCTACACGTACCGCACGCCCCGCTACCGCCACCGCAGTCATTTGTTCAACTCAAAGAACACTCCGCTCATACACCGGTACTCACGGTGACAGTTTATTCACTCTTTGTAAGAAGGAAATTGAGATTCAAATAAATGGTTTGATTAATATAATCTTTGTGTATACATATATGCGAGTAGTCCTACAAATTTCATGGGTTTAGAGACCACGATATCGTTTGATATGTGACAATTCCAGCGACTACCTCGTTGGCCGAGTGGTCGCAAGTGCGCCTGCCGGACAAGGGGTCTCGGGTAATCGATTCCAGAGTCGGGCAAAGTATTACTGGGTTTTAAAAAAATACCTCATTGTAGCATGGCGTCTGGAATTGTGCCCGGTATATGGCAATAGGCTCACTCGATTTCACGAAATAGTAAAAAGTGGGTGCTACATT